AAAAAAAAAAAAAAAAAAAAAAAAAAAAAAAAAAAAAAAAAAAAAAAAAAAAAAAAAAAAAAAAAAAAAAAAAAAAAACAGAAAAGAAGCTTCCCTGAAAGTGCCAGTCCCAATTCGTAACGATTTCGTATCAGAGGGTCATCCCTTGGGGAACAAGATTTAATATTCCAACACGTTTTGGTCCCGTCCTTTCTCTTTACGCAATGCTAAAAAACTGGGCTATACCCTCTTCTTCTTCTACTGTCTCTCTTCTGCTACTTCTCATTTCCTCTTTTCTCTCAAAATCCACTTCAATTTCCTCCAAACCCTTCTTCTCTCAATCCAATTTCACAATCAAAACCCCCTCTCCCTTCCCCAAAACCTACCGACCCATTTCTTCAACAGGCCCGTCCATGAATCTCTGGAACAAGCTCGGATTCGGGTCCAGAGCCACCGAGGCCTCGCCGGAGTCGTTAGCGATTGCACAAGGTCCAGACGATGACATTCCGGCGCCGGGCCAGCAGTTTGCCCAATTTGGGGCGGGCTGCTTTTGGGGCGTCGAATTGGCGTTTCAACGAGTGCCCGGTTTGACCAAAACGGAGGTCGGTTACACTCAAGGGCATATTCATAATCCGACTTATGAGGATGTTTGTTCGGGGCAGAGCAATCACTCTGAGGTCGTTCGGGTTCAGTATGATCCCAAAGAGTGCAGTTACGAGTCTCTGCTTGATGTGTTTTGGGCTCGACATGATCCTACTACTCTTAATCGGCAGGTTCGTTGAGTTTTCTTTTACAAATTCTTGTGGTATGTTATGGTTCTTGACTGAGTTCTTTGGGTTTCTTTTGAAATTTCTAATGGTTAACCTTTGTTTGGGTAGTTCCTTCGGGGATTATTGGAGTTCCTTGGTTATTTTGTTAAGATTTTATAGAATTGGAGTTCGCATGCTCACTAATTTCACATTTGAGTTCAGTTTCTGTGATGCGGATTGCTTGTTGATTTGAAATGGTCAAGCCTCATGTTTTGTATGGGTCAGGAGAAAGGAAAAGCATATATTTGCTTCTGAAAAATATAATAGTAACGAAGTGGACAAATATGAACTGCGTTAGAAGTCTATGGAGGGATGTTATGTTTTTGTTAATGCTTTGTTATTCAAAGCACGATGCTTTCATGGCCATACTGATAATTGCAAATTTTTACTTGTGTTAAGGAAGACTTTGTTTTGATGTTTCGCTACAGATGTATGACTCCTGTATTTTTGTTGTGTTTCCTGGTAAACGATGTGAAGGAACGCAAAGGATGACTGTTTTTAATAGCATAAAAACATGAAATATATGTTTAAGATGTTGAGTTTATCAAACGTAGGCTGGGTTGTGCAGGGCTAGACATGACTTCACCTCACTTTGGATATTGTAATTTATGTCTCTGTTACCATATTTTTTCGTGCATTGTGCTTCTTTAGTTGGAATAGAACATTTTTTATTGAAAAAAAAAAAAGAAATTGGCAAAGGAGACACCTCTTAATTTCAGAAGAGGGCATGCTGTTTGTGTATTATCTTTCTTATCCATGTCTGTGTTGGTTTTAGGTTTAAGGGTAGTGCATTGATTCAGGTGATTTGAGGATTGAGAATTTAGCTGAAAAGAATGTTGCCTTTTTGACTGAGTGGCTGTATATTTTTCCTTGGAACTTTGTGAGGGTTGAGAAATTCGTTGCTTTTTTTACTGAATTGCTATAGCATTTCTCCTTGGAACTTGATGCTTCTTGATATAGGATTGATTTAAGTATGGACATCATTCCAATGGTTAGAGCTCCAATGTGTTTTAAATGGCACTTTCGTGAATCTTAAGAAAGCTGTTCTCATTGTTTGCCTTGTTTTATCAGATTCATTAAATTATCAGTTGGTATGTGGCCTATGCATTTCTTGGACCATTGGATGGACCGACATGGTTTCTTTTGGTTGCGTTTCCTTGTCTTGACAAACTTCCCTCCATAAAAAATGCAAATTGCATTTTTTGTTCTTTTTTGTTTGTCGGCTGCTCATTAGGGGTGGGGGTCAAATGTAAAATTCTTAAGAAAGCTGAGTTTTTCTCAAGGCATGTCATGCGCTCAGCTTACCCTAGCCCCGTTCCTTTTGCTCAGCTTTTCTCGATCGAGATTTTTGTCTCCTTGGTTGGAACAGCTCAAAAAGTCCGACCACTTCACCTCCTACTTGACTTTGGCGTCAACCCCAACCCGAATGGAGGATTAACATCATATAATACCTTATCCAGAGGTTTCCCAATTTAGTTCTTGGTCATAGACTCGTAGTGATTTGCTCTTTGCCAAATAAAAAAAAACGCATTTAAGTCTTTGGGTCACATTCTTTGGAGGAACCTCCTCTTTGAAGATTTGGCTTACAGTCTAAAGCTTTTAGGGTGCTGTTAGTTCGAGAGCACGGTTCTCTTATAATAGGAAAAGTCCTTTTGCATCCTCCTATTCTTGACAGGGGAAGATTTCTTTGGTAGGTTCACTTGTAAGCTTCATTTATAGAGGATTGGGTTAGAAAGAAATAGGAGTGTTCAAGCTTTGAATCAGTGATTTCAGGGGATATGGATCCCACTCGACCAGCATTTCAAATGACTCGAAAATCATCCTCCGACCAATTTGGGGAAAGAAGTATTATTTTTCAAGGACTTCAGACAGCTAAACATATTGTTCTTGTTTCTTACTTGTGTCATTTTCTTGCATGAGCTACTTGTCTTATTTCTTGTACTGAAAGATGCATCGTACATGATATTTAACTTTGAGATAACTTTTCCATTATTATGCATATGATATGAGTTTTCTATTCATTCCCTGACCTAAATCCAAGTAATGGTATTCATATTGTTTGGGTTGACAGGGAAATGATGTGGGAACACAATACAGATCTGGCATATACTTCTACACTCCTGAACAACAGAAAGCGGCTCTCGAATCAATGGAACGCCACCAGAAGTTATTGAACAGGAAGATCATGACTGAGATTCTTCCAGCCAAAAAATTCTACCGAGCGGAGGAATACCATCAGCAATACCTTGAGAAAGGTGGGAGGTTTGGCTCCAAGCAATCTGCTGCTAAAGGCTGCAATGACCCAATTCGATGCTACGGTTAGTTAAGTAGGTCTTGGCAGGTAATATTAGTTTCCCAGCTTCAAGATTATGGTATTCTGTATACATCTATGACTAGGTTTGAGAAGCTCTCTCAGACGTTACTTGTAAAAAGAATCTTGGATGTATGTATGTATCTGTAATTGGTTTGGCTTTCCTAATAAACGAAGTTGTACTTGTAAGGATGCTTTCCCTCAATCTAATGGTCTAAAAATCTTGTGGAAGCTTAGATGAATTGGTCCATGCATGTTGAAAGTGAATGATATCATATTATTTTTAAAAGTACTTCGCAAAGCGTTTTTGATATCAACATAATCCTTTTGTACAAAGTAATGGTGGAAAGTCATCGATGAATAATAATAGAAATGGTCAGTTTAGTTTGCATGAGTAGATAGGATTATTAGATGTGTAGTCTCATGCCTACATTATCGTAATTTTCTACCCATGAGCAGATTTAAATTTCCAATATCGTATTTAATTGTCATTAGTTCTAATATTTTGAGTTATAGTTCATGTTTTGTGTCTGCCGAATTTCTTCCTCAAGCTGTTTCAATCCTCTAAGCTACAATCTCTATTTCGACTTCATCAGATTTGTGATGATATCCTAATCCATAATCGTGTGCTCAATCTTTGAGCTTCATGTCTTTCTTTGTCTTCGAACTACGAGCATTGTGATTCAATCATGTGCTCCATAGTGTCTCCTCTTCTTAGTTATAGCTGTTGGTATTTGGGATTGCTTACCATTTTGGAGGTATTTTGTTTGCTTTATATTTGAAACAGTCAAAATCTTGAAAAGGAGTGGGACAGCAAAATGTTGTATGATAGAGGAGACAAAGCAAGTGGGACAGCGTCTCTTCTCAAATGTTTGGTGTGTCAATGCCCACCACTCGGATAAACCCAATTATTTGCTATCATACTTCAGTCCACATATCCTTTTTTTAATTATTATTTTAATATTTTATTTCTATAAATCTCATTTTATTATTATTATTATTATTCTTTTTTTTTCTTTTTTTTTTTTTGCCTTTTTAAATGTCATTAGAACTTTTTGTCTTTTATTTATTTATTTGAAGAAAATGACTTCTCTTTGTCTCATTTTAATCCTTTGGTATTTAAATTTCTGTCAGATTTAAATTATTATCGATTTTTAAATTTTTTTCAAAAAAATAGAGATAATTAATTGTTGATTTAAGTTCATGTTGACCCTCATTTTGAGTATAATCAATT